TGGATGAGAGGCTGGTTTGGTGAAAAATGTGTGCGTTTAGACCAGGGTTTGACTTTGTGTGGACGGGGCCGTAGCAACTTCAAGGGGGAGGAGTCGTCAGCCAATCAGAAGCAAGCTCTGAGTAAATGTAACATCAGTGGACCAATAGGGATTTAAAAAAAAATAAAAAAGGTCTGCAATTCTTAAAAAAGCAAGATTAAGTAGTCCTTTTTAGAAATTAAATAAGCCTTTTACAAAAAATCTAAAGGGTTCATTGCCAGCATTTAGTGAAAGCAGAGATCTGTAGAATGGGAGGTAACATGTAACCATGGGAACTCTGCAGGACCTGACCAAACGGTCCGGCCAGACGCCGAACAAAGCTGGGAAGAAGCGACAACATGAGGAGCCGGAGAGCTTCTTCACCTGGTTCACCGACCACTCAGACGCCGGAGCCGACGAGCTGGGAGAGGTGATCAAGGACGACATCTGGCCCAACCCACTGCAGTACTACCTGGTAGGAAGATCGGTCCTCTGTCTACCTGGACAAACACACAGAGCTGTTGATAAATGTGTCGGGTTTATGCATGAAACCTGAATAACAATTAAATCCAGTCTGAACCGGTACTTTTTCAGCAGCTCAGAGCGTAGGCTGGGTTCTGTTTAACGGTTTGTCTCTGGATGCCTCCCAGGTCCCCGACATAGAGGACGAGGAAGGCGAGGATGACGAAGAGGATGATGAGGAGGGTCTGGAAGACATTGATGAGGGGGAGGAAGAGGAGGGTGAAGATGAAGATGGTGAAGGGGAAGATGGAGAGGTGAGACCGCCTTCAGAGCTGTAGCTCAACATATAAACTAAAACACATTTATCTATCTTTATTGTTTCGAGAGTGGCAGCCTAAAGTTTAGAGCATAGGGCTTGGAATCCTGAGGTTGTGAGTTCAAAACCCAGAGTTCAAAATGCTGGGAAAAAAACTTCTATTCAGTTTGATACAGAACCAGTCCAGAACGTATCCTTTGTTGCCAACAGTAGCAGGTCTCTCCATCAAATCGATCTACTTTAGCCCTGGTTTAGACAGACTTTTGTCTGGATTAATTCCTGGTTTAGACCTAATTTAGCCCTTGTTTTAGTCATTTTAAACTTACTTAACCTGGTTTTAGTCCAGGTTAAGACCTACTTTACCTTTGGGTTTTAGTCCTGGCTTTAACCTACTTTAGCCCTGGTTTAGACCGACTGCAGTCTGTTTTCAGTCCCGGTTTAGACTTAGTTTAGGCCTGGTGTAAACCAACTGTAGTCTAGTTTCAATCCCGGTTTAGAACTACTTAGCCCTGGTTTAGACCAACTGTTTGGTTTTAGTCCTGGTTTAGACCTACTTTAGCCCTTGTTTTAGTCTTTTTAGACCTACTTTAGCCTGGTTTTATTCCAGGGTTAGACATACTTTAGTCCTGGTTTTAGTCCTGGCTTCGACTTACTTTAGTCCTGGTATAGACCGACTGTAGTGTGGTTTCAGTCCCGGTTTAGACTTACTTGAGGCCTGGTTTAGACTGACCATTGTCTGGTTTCAGTCCTGGTTTAGACTGACTGTAGTCTTGTTTTAGTTTTGGTTTAGACCTACTTTAGCCCTTGTTTTAGTCCTTTTAGACTTACTCAACCTGGCTTTAGTCCAGGTTAGACCTACTTTACCTTTGGTTTTAGTCCTGCTTTGACCTACTTTAGCCCTGGTGTAGAACGACTGTAGTCTGGTTTAGACCTACTTAAGTCCTAGTTTAGTCCTACTTTAGGCCTGGTTTAGTCTGACTTAAGTCTTGGTTTAGACTTACCTAGGCCATGGTTTAGACCTTTAGACTGAATGTAGTGGTATAGTTTTAGTCCTGGTTTAGACCTTCTTTAGCCATGGTTTTAGTTCTGATTTAGTCCTACTTTAGTAAAACTTTACGCCTGGTTGAGACTTATTGTCCTTTAAATAAACTAGTCTGGTTTTAGTCCAGGCCCTGGTTTAGTTCTTTTTCTAAGCCCTACTTTAGTCAAGTTTAGATGTGCTGTAGCTGTGGTTTTACTCCTGGTTTAGCCAGACTATAACCTGGTTTTGATCCCACTGTCGAGCATAATCAGCAGCAGATTATTATCAGCACAGCTCTGTTTACTTGGACCTGAGATCGTTGCCTTCAAGTCCCAAATGGTTGCCTGGGTCATTTCAGTTTTCCCGTCATTACACATCCTCAGTGTTTTAATGTTTATCATTTTGACAATTTATATAATATCAACCTGATTGCTATATTCCTTTGTATTTTTTGTTAATTTCTGATGATTCTGGTTCTGATCCATATTCAGCCCATTGGCTTCTTAACCTGTATAATTCTAAGGAGCCTCATTCCTGAGTGTAAATAATTGGTTCTGAAAGCAGATAGAAATGGATTAATGTTCTGTTTAAGAGCTGAACCTTAGAGGTGCTGACCCAGACCGACCTCCATTTTTGTGTTTTTCAGGACGACGGGGAAGACGACTGAAAGCTTCTGTCGGCACCGTCCTCCCACCGGATCAGTCTGTGGGATGAAGTGTTTGTTTAGGAGGGAGGGGTTTTGTAAAAAAAAAAAATTTTTTTTTTTGTTTCTAATATTTTTCCTCCTGTGTGTCGTCGACCCGTCTGCAGCCCGCTCAGTTAGACCAGCTTCGGGTCCACTGGAGGACGGCGCCGGACTCTCCTGTCATCGTTTCTCCACGTCTTCAGACACACGAGATAAATCAATAACTTTGTAGCATTCTGCACGTCATTTCCTGTAGATTAAAGCCGCGTGCGTTAGCAGTTTGTCTCAGATGACGGTTTCTGTTGTGTTTCCTAAAATAAGCCATGGTGCCGTGAGAACTTATCATCCTAGCATCTTTAACCACTTTTCTATATATATATATATATATATATATATGAATATATAAATGTATAGGGTGGGGGGGCTTACAGATGAAGCAGCACCAGCTTGTTCCTCTCAGTCTCTAAATGTTTCCGCTCACAAAGCCAGTTTATTCCGCTACGGCTCGACTCGCTTCTCCCCACCATCACAGATCATCCCCCTTTTTTTTTTTTGTCTGTTTGGTTTTAAATTAAAACCCAAAACAGTAGAGAGAAAAATTGCTCCTCCTCCCGATTCCTGGCTGGTTTATTAGAAACCAAATTCGATCCCGAAACGAATTGCAGATGTGAACCTCTGGAGGAATCAACTTCTCAAGATCCAGAAGTGAATCTGGTGATCCAAACTGAGAAGTTAAGTCGCATCAGCTTTTCTAGCCGTCCCGGTTCTGATGCGACACTTTAATAATCCTCAGGCTCTTCAGATGTCCCATTGTTGAATTTGTCCCGCCTCACTGGAAGTGACTTTTATAATAAACCAATATGGCTGAATCAACGTGGAGATGTGTTGCTTTGTTCCAAACTTGGTTCCTCTGAGGAAGCAGGTTCCTAACTGGTTCTGGATGGAAGTAAAAATGAATGAAACTCTGGTTCTGTTGATTAACGCTCAAATACGATGAATCAAAAAGGATGTTTGAGTGGATTTAAAACGCTCAAAAAGAAATATTCCTCCTGTGCAGATTAGTTTTTTTGGTCATAAAATATTACAGATTAAAATCTCACAATCAAACCTGAATGAGATGTTAATTTAAAAAAAAAGTTTCAGAAAAGAATTAACCACTGGGGGGCGCCAGATCTTAGACTTGGGTTTAGCTTCCCTGAAAGCCAGTGAAACAAACTGAACCGGTTCTGGAATCTGACAGCAGATTGAGAAATCAAGGAATTCTTTGTAAGACTAGGAAAGAAGGAAGGATTAAATCCTAAATCAGAGAATGAGAAATCTCTGATCAGGTATCTGCTTAGCTCAGGGTCACATGACTCAATCACTGAAGGATATAAATCCATCTGAAAAACATACATAGAACATAAACTAAATTCTGATTTAAAATGAATCCTTTTAACAGCATCTGCATTATATTCAGACTCAGGATTTAATATTACTAAACTAAGGACAAATGCATTAAATGTACCATTAACGTTTTTCTATTGGCCAAATTATCCCAAATGTCATAAAAAATTTGACTAAAATGACATGTTTTAAGTTTCATTCTGATTGATCCCCCTCATTTTTCTACAGTTTATAAGAAATCAGTGCTTTTTGTTCTGTGCTCCTTGCGTTTTATTTTTGGGTGAGTACAATCAGAATATGATGTATGGGTGTTATTGTTTGCTTAAAGAAATAAACATTTTGAACTTTCTATGCACCAATGCTACATATTGACTTGATAAATCATTTATAGATCTCAGATTAAGCCAAGGTTTTAGTGTGGCTTTAATATTTCTATAACCTGAACAAAAAAAAGTATTTTAGCCCTGGTTTAGTCCGATTTAAGTGGGTTAGAACTAGGTTAGCCTTGGTTAAAGTCCTGGTTTAAACCTACTTTAGCAATGTTTTTATTTCTGTTTTAGACCTGACTTTAGAACTTGTTTATTCTTATTTTAGTCCTACTTTACCTTCGGTTTATACTGACTGTAGTATAGTTTTAGTTCTCTTTTAGCCATGGTTTTATTTCTGGTTCAGACCTACTGTAGTGTGGTTTTGTCCTGGTTATAGTCCTATTGAAGCCGTGGTTTCATTCAATTAGTCTGGTCTTAGTTCTGCCTCTGGTTTAGTCCTTTTTTTTTTATTTTCCCAGACCCATTTTAGTCAAGTTTAGATCTGTAGCTGTGGTTTTACTCCTGGTTTAGCCAAACTAGCACAGCTCTGTTTGCTTTGACCTGAAATCATTGCCTTCAAGCCCAAATGGTTGTCTGGGTCATTTCATCCTCGTGCGTTTTAGTGTTTATCATTTTGACAATTATATATATATATATATATATATATATATATATATATATATATAAATAATTAAATAAAAAACCCAGCTTGACCTAAACCTTTCTGAATAGGTTCTGGGTTGGCAGCCCGGTTCTGCTCGTCTCCTCCTCCCAAATGCTTCTTAATCCAAAATGAAGTCAGGCTAATGGACCTAGAAGGAGAAGTCGGACCTCCTCAGGAAATGACGACACACTCAAATCCTGACATTTTTCTGGGGTTTAATACTTGAGATTCAGAGGCAATAAAAAAATTTTCAAGTAAGAACTGGATTGGTCTAAAATGGAGCCACGGTGCATCTCCTGATCTGTGATTTCACATGAATTGGATCACGTTTCAACCTACAGTGGCACCAAACATTTTCCATAAAAAACTGTCAACAGTGATTCCATCATTCAGTCATTATTACAGCAAGAACCTCCATCTATAAACATCATCAGAACCTAGAGTCCAACATCGATTGGTTTTCCTAAAAACGTCCTCTAAAACCTGAAAATGTGCTGAACAAGAGGCCGAGTTCAACATCTGACCTCTGGTCCCAGAAACACCAGAGAAACTGGAGCGAGAACCAGTTCTGCACCGAAACGAAACAGTCCCACGGCTCCGGTTAGAGCCGGACCCTCAGTCTGCACTGCCTGTTCCACATGGTCTGGTCCAGCTGAGAGGCGCCGATCCGGCCGGCCGGAGTGGGCCGGGCCACGCTGGAGAAAGGTCTGGAGTTGATGCTGACGTGAGGCATGTCCTTCTTTAGAGCCGCCAGCTGGCTGTCCTGCACGAAGCTGAAGACGTCCAGGAAACTGAGGGACGGGAGCATCTTCCCGAGGTCCCTGGGAACAGAAACGGGGCGGGAAACCGATTACAGAACCCAGTCAGAACCAAAGCAGCAGCCGCACATGACAGCTGGGTGGGACTTACGAGAGCGCAGCCAGGTGGATGTGGTAGCAGCGACTCAGAGAGAGGTGACGCAGGTTCTTCAGCTGCTTCAGAACCGGGAAGCTGTCGGCCATCAGCAGGGTGCTGTCGCTGTTGGACAGAAAAAAACCAAACTACTGCGGTGGAACCAGCCACAGAAAACCAAACCCCTCACTTCCAAAAAACAAAAACAAAAAACATCTGATCTTAAACCAAACAAGCAGAAGGACCAGATACCTCAAGCCTGCAGAGTCCACACTGGAAAAATGAGCTAGAAATAAGTAAAAATTTGTTAAATTAAGTGTATTTACCCTTAATTTGAGTAGTTATAT